AGGCCATCTCAGAAGGGCAAGCTCAGTACCGGTGGGGCTCAGGGGTTTGCGTTAGGGTCTGCAGGCTTGCTGGACAAGCTGAATGAAAGACTGTGTCTTTTCTTTGTAGTTTTGCGCTCATGAACCAGACTCCTAGGCAAAGTTTTGTGCTCCACATGATAGTACAGAGTTCGAACAAAGCCCAAGAAGGAGAAATTGAGGCAGTATAAAGATGTCAACCTGTTATGAAGTCCCAACCATATAGCAGTGCAGACTATGGAGGCCTTTCCTTCAATTTCCATTTTTTTCATTTCATTTTCACACATTTCAAAATTGATAGCTATTCAGTAATCATTCTTCCTCTGAAGAAGCTGCAACCAACTCAGCCATAATATTTTCAGACCTCAGAGATCTGCTCGCCCCACAGTGTTCTTCTTAAGCTGAGCATGTTTGACAGCTGCTTTGCTTGCCTAAATCCCAAATTGTTAGCCTTTTGGAAGGGAAAGTGGTGCTAAATGAACTTTATTCCCACTTGTTAAGACCTCAAGGAGCAGGGCTGCTTCTCAGCCATCTCATCTCTAGCACACGCAGGTCGGAGCAACAACTAGCAATGCTTCTGCTACTTGTGTAAAAAACACAAGTTACCGAATCCCCCGCGTGCCCAATTCTCTTATCCTGGCCCCAGTCCACCCCAGCTGGGCTATCTGCAGGGAGCACTGGTGGAGGCCCCTGCATGGCTCCAGGATCTCCAAGGCATCGGGGCTGTTCAGCAAATGGCCTGAAGCCCTGCACAGGGCTCTGTCTGGGCAGAAATATTAAGCGGTACACGAAGATTATGTTCTTTCTAGCGGGGTGTTACTAAGAGCAGGTCGAAAGCTTCTCCTCTGAATATCTGTTTTACCTTGACACTTTCTCTTGACGTTCTGCTGCTTTAAAAGAAATTTTGCCCTCTCCCTCTGTACTTTTCTGTATGTTCTTTTTTCTTGGCAATATTTTTCTCTTCATATGTTTTGTTGCTGTAAAGGACCTTGCATAATGTTTTCCTTTAAATGATTTAATTTCAGAGTTTTCTCTTACTTCAAACTTCCTAGTTGATATGTGACTCTGCTATGTGGTTTCTAGGTCTCCTTCTACTTTAGTGTCCTTTATCTCTTAGGCAGTTTCCCTTGAAAAGCTCTGCAGTGGTGAAAAATATCATCTGTATCTCTCTATTCACAATGAATTTTAATATATCTATGAGAGAAGTAGATGCAGACCAAGTAAGCATTTTGTAGTACGAAATAATGGTGGTTTATTTATAGGATACTTATTTCTAAAATTCCCAAATAGCATGAAGAGAAACTTGGCCAAGTTATAAGAAAAGACATGCTTTTTTTTTTTCCTCATAAGTTCTAGTCATACCACAGGCTTTCCACAAAAAGAACAATTTATTTTTTGTATTATATGCCCAGAAGAGTTATTGCAGGACTGTAGCATTGCCAGCATTTGATGTGAAGAACGTGCAGTCTGATTTTTTAAAGGCAGAGTGTTCAGTTTTTCTTGGAGCCTTTGTGAGTGGCAGGTGTTCCAGGTCTCCAGATTAGGATGTTTACAGTTTGACTCACTCTCAGTGTTATAATATTACAATATTTCTGTCAAAATCCTCTAAAACAGATCCTTTTAAACAGAAGCATTTGACTCCTGTAGCAGTTTAAAATTCATGACATTGGGTTTAATCTAAAGGCCACCAAGACCAATGAAAGCCTTTCTACTGATACGCAGTCAGGCTATAACTGGATTTAAAAAGTGACCTACATCTTTTGCTCCATGTGTCAGGCTCTCTTTGCTCAATCATCCATAGGTGGTCTGAATTTACCACTGCAGCGCGAAAACGTGAATCTATGAACAGCGGTGGGTCTAGCTATTTAAATCACTTTCTGGCCTGATTTCTGAACCTTGAACAAGACTTGCACTTCCTAGTTCTGTCGGCAGAGTGAAGCTGGTGAATATTTTCGTTGGTGACAACTGTCATTTGCAGTTCATGGCTATACCAGCAGGAGCTATGGTGAAGCCAGCAAAAAATGCTGTCACTGATATTCCTTGCTTTGCCTATTGAACCAGACTGGCTAGCTGGCAGAAGTGTTTTTTGCTTGCTGGTACCTTTTGTTTATACTGAGAGGCCTTTACAAACTTGGAAGTTTTGCCAGTGGATTTCAGGCACAAGGACATACTAGCCAAATCTACCCCTTTTTTGAATTTTAGATGTTGGCAGATAGTAATGAGCTTCCTACAGCTGGGTCTTGCCTTTCTCCTATATCTTTGCAGAAGCAAGACCCTGTCAGACGTCCAACAGTGTGTGTGCCAACCCCACCATCAGAGTCACTAGGAAAAACAATAGGACTGCAAATAAGTCCTCAGGTCTCAGTTCTGTCACCCAAGGCAATAGAGTTGACATGTATCCAAGTGTCTGCGTAACAGCTGGGGAGAGGTAGAAGCTCCGTTTGAAGAAGGTATCAGACATTTTATCATCCTTATTCCTTTCCTTATGAACACTAACTTCTCATGTGAAGTACCCCTAAATCTGCACTGATATTAGTGGAGCAATATTGCTTTGGAACAGTCACTGTTTATGCAGCAGGGAGAGTGGGATGTGGTTATGAGGGTGGGATGGCTGGTAGGCACTGGTGCACAAAGAGTGCTTTCTGTCTTGCCAGTGCAGCCCATCGATTAGGGCAGATAAGCAAACGGCACCCAGCTGAACACTCCTGGAATAAATGGGACACCTTGTTCTTTGGAGTTAGCTTAAACTCTATTTAAAATGAGCTTTTTTACTATGGAACGTGTAATTTAGCTCCTGGAAGGTAGCATGTGCTGTATGTGCAATACTGTGTATTGTCCACTTGTGCCAAGCTTTAGAATGGGAGTTACCTTCTCCTCGGCTTGCAGTCACTTAGAAGTGCAGCAATTTGTTCTAGTTTCTGGACGGAGTAGATCAGCCCAGCAGAACATACCTGGACTGTAAGTACTGTGCAACAGTGAACCACACACAAAGGAGAAATGCAGTGCATTGTCCTGAGGGCAGCAGTCAGTAATTCTTGCACCTAGGAGACGGTTTGTTTCAGCATAATGGTGTTCCTGGTGATTTTGAGATACAGCTCTCCCAGGGAAGGTCACAATGATTCATCCTCTTAATGGATGTAGTAAAAGTGTTAACTATTCTACTGTTGTCTAGAATAAGTGCACCTTTTATTATGCTCGATTTTTTTTTAATTGTAGTATTATCAGAAAACTTCCTAGAATGAAAAGGATATTGTGTTAAAGTGCCTCCTGAACCGAACCGTTTTCTCATACGGCAGTTGCTATCAAGATGGTGATAATGTTCCCAGAGAGAACTGAATATGAAAACCAGAAGGTCTCCTGGTCACATCTTCTGAAAGCTTCAAACTGTATTTTTTGTTAGAAACAAGAGTCCTGCTACCCCCTGGTAGCTAGCTTCTAAGTTACTCATATTGCTTAATATCAAAATACTTGATCACATCAGTGTACCAAAATGGTTTTGGAGCTACCAGTTTCATCGCCAAATGCTTTCTGCCATGAGTTAGGGTTTCATAAATTAGACCTTTATATATACTGCAAAATATTAACAGATTTATTCTGCCTGCACACTCTTCATTCATTGCTACGTAACAGCAGAGAGTGATCTAGCTCCCTGGCAGCGTGTTTTAGTAAGAGAGTAAATTGTGTGTGTTTACTTATCCTACACAATTCAGTAATTGTACTGCGTACCTTGGCCAAGTTTCTGAATAATTAAGGCTTGAAGACCAGCTCTTAAATTCATAACTAGAAGGTCTGATTTTCAAATACAGTCTACCCTTACTCTTGTTGACTTTTTGGAAGCCAGTAGGTTATCAGCGTTTTGAAAATCAGGCCTGCTACTTATTCCAGTACTTTGTATGGGAAAGCCAGACTACGGTTTAGGCTCCTTTTAATACTTATCCTTGTAGTTTTGCAGTGCCTCTTTTATTCTCCGCATTGCAATAATTCCTATAAGAAAAGTGAGGTTCCAGTGAGGTCGCTACTTAAAATCTTTGCTAGAAGATACAGTGATGCACAGAATGAGAATATTTCTGGCAGGTCATTGTGCTGCTTTAATAAAGGGGCTGACTATAAAAACATCTTTCATATAACTTATGTTTCACTCCCTGTGCCTAACAACAAGCCTGAGTGAACTGAGGTGCATCAGAAAGGGTAATTTTGCCCTCAGTATTATTAGGAGCTCTTCAGTGCAGTTAGTCAGGTTTGTCTCCTGTGTGTCAGTGCCGGAAGGCTTCCTTTCTCTATATGATTTCAAGGAAAGTCTGGTTCATTACTTCAGGGTCTAAGCTAAATTCTTTCCTCGGGACCCTTTTAAAGAAATTGTTTAAGCCCCAAAGACTTGTGCTGGCTGCAGCAGCAGCAGTGTGAAGGAACGGCCATTTGCTTTGCTTCTTGCTGCTCATCTTCAAGAAGAGGAGTCTCTCCTTAATCTGTAGGCTCAGAGGCACAGTAGAAGGGCTTTTTGACCTGAGGTAAAACAATGACAAAAGCATTCCTGTGGAAGCACAGCATGCAGGCATTTTGGGATGCTTCTGGAATATATTACTGGGGATAACTTTCTCTCTCTTTTAAAAAGAAAATTGTACTAATACCGTTAGAAAAAAAAAGCCGTGTGTGATGAGGAGAAAGAGAAGAAATTATTCTTGGTAATATTTAAAAGTTGTTAAATGCAGGAGGCCCTGGAATGACCCTGGATTTAACATGCACTCAGTCAGGATTGTGTACTGGCACAATTACAAAGGTGAGACTGTGAAAGAGTTTCTCATTGTAATCTCTGGGATTTTCCATTTCCGTTATTTAGACACCCTCATGGGTCAATATGTGGAGCATTTTCTATAATCGATACGCACTTTTTTGCTCAAATGAGGGCCACTCCTGAGAAAAGAATTTTGTTTTTTAAGCATTCTTTGGCTGATGCTGACTGCATATTTCCATTCCCCTTGCAGAGGCACAGCAATAGCTGGAATTGTTTTCGGTATAGTATTTATAATGGGAGTGATTGCTGGGATTGCCATCTGTATCTGCATGTGCATGAAGAACAACCGCGGGACTCGAGTAGGGGTCATCCGAACGACGCACATCAACACTATCAGCACGTACCCAGGTAAGGAAGCTAAATTACACCCCTGCAAGAGCGCCTGCGTTCATGGTAGGAGTGTTTCTTTGGAGAGTTATGACTTTACAATAAATCAGGCATGTGAATATTTCTTCCAAAGGAGGCTCTTCTCCATCAGCAGAGGAGCATCACGACTGCCTGCGAGAAACGCAGGACAGCTCAGAGCGCGCAGCATTAGTTAGAGCAGCGCTCTGCCTGGGCTAATTTATTCTGCTACTCAGTGGGCTCATTAGCTCTGGCCAGGTGCCATATTAGCACAGCTGTGTGGTTTCCGGTGCCCGCAGTAGCGCGTTTAGAGCCCGCTCAGGATGGTACTGCATTGTGCCATATAGGCTTTCGCAGCGTGCCAGCAGCTCTCCGATGATGGGTCCCTTGTTTCTCACTTGGGTTCTGGTTCTTGTTCGTGCTCACGTGCAGTCAGCTCTCTTTCATTGCCCAGTAAAATGGGGGCCTAGTGTGCCGCAGGCAGGGGGAAAACCTGGATAATAAGGTCTGTGGATGATGCTGCTAAGGTTTCCGAGTCATGCCGTGTGGAGTCAACTGCAGTCTGAGGAGGCTGGTGCTCAGCCAGAGCGTGCACGAGCAGCTTTGCAGTGTGTTCCCTGTCACATATCCCAGAAGGGACCGCTGGCTGGCGTGCCACACTGGGTCTGAGCTGGCTCGCTGCATCCATCTGGTGCCATGCCTCAACTGATAGGGATTTGGAGCACAGCTCAGAGATGCCCCTGTGGTGCCTTGGTCAAAGTTAGCTGAGGTCTCGCAGGGCTTGCTAGCTTTGGCTTAGCTCCGGACACACTGGCTTGTTTGCACAGAGCTGGGAGGCAGATTTGCACCCTCCTCCAATATGTAACGGTTTGTCGGGTACATGGCATCGCCAGGGGAGGCAAAGTGCCCACCTCAGATCTGGCATGGAGTTAATCAATCAGCTATGAGCACAGACTCTGGGGTACCCCAAGGAGTGATGGGGACCCCTCACTGCTTCTGCCCCGAGTCTGCTGCAGAGCTGCTTTCTGCACTGTGCTCGTCAGCTCAGTCTGTTCTGGGAGCGGGTACAGGAGCGCCAAGGTGGGTCTGCACTGCACCAGCAGGGTCTGCAAGGCTTATCTGTCTGGGCTCCCCACCATGTGAAAGCAGTCATGTTGCTAAAGAGCCAAGCCAGCCCAAAAGCAGCATAGCCGTGATTATGCAATGCAGCTATGTCTCTGCTTTGGTGGCACAACTAATTGCAAACCCAGGAGCATTGTCTGGGAATAACTGAGAGCTCACTGTAATAAAAGGCAATGGTATTTCACGCAAGTTCTCCCTCCCACCGTAAGAGATCTCCTGCCTTTATAATCTGCTTCTGTTGCAAAGATTGCACCAAACCCCAGGTGCATTATATATACTTACAGGCAAGCTACCCAATATTTAATACATACTCTTTCATCACTAATAACTGTTCTTAGCATCTATTTTCTGCTTTATCCTCTTTCCAGTTAAACCAAACCCAGCTATAATCATCCATATTATTGCAACATTGTTTTGCGTAGAGAGATGAGTAATGAAAGAAGACTGCAATATTCTCAACCAGGAATTGCTGAAGAGCTACTTTAGATGCTAATAGTCACCACAAGCTGTAAAAACAAGAACAAAATGAAGGCTCTGGGGCTGTAGCCTTTTCCTCCCCAAGGCTGTTCCTGCACTGACTCACATGCTATCTATCCACCTCCAGGCAGTTCGACTCTGCGTGCTCGCTGCTCCCGGTGCAAACATTTATTTGAGCAGTTCTGCCTCTCAGCAGCAGCAGTTTTTGGAGGATGGGACAAGCTTTGAAATGATTTTCATGTCCCCCATCATCGTTAACAGTTTTGGAGTAATGATCGGCCTGGCTCTGGTTTTGTGGTGTTTGCAACCAGCCCTTCCTCCTGCCATTAGCAGTTTTGGACAGGAATGACGAGTGATGGGATGCCATTCCTTTGGCTCAACCACAGTGGCAGCCAGGTTTTTGGAGAGAAAGGAGTGCTTTTCCTGCTACATGGGGATCTGAGTCTCCTTCCCCTCCATCACAAACATCCTAGGTTCCTGTTTTCTCTCTTATTAAAATGCTATTTTAGTGCCAGTCTGCTTGAGTTCTCCAGAGAGGGAACAGGAGAGCCTTCATGGTGACATGAATAATGAGGAAACAGACTCTGGAGCTTAAAATTCATAGAGACTACTCTAGCAGGGTCTTGGTGTGGAGCCTTCAGTTCCTACTATGCTATACTCCCGTACCGTTTACTGTCTTCACGATCACTGAATTAATCCTTCTCCAAGCTGAGTAGAAGTAGTTGAGAAAAGTTTTTCAGTTGTTTATGAATGCTTTTCATTCTTTCATAAAAGTCTGACCTGCTTTAAAACACAGGGCTCTCCTCAGATTTCTCCGCTGGGCAGTACAAGGTGAAAGTCCTGTTCTTATGCAGCCTAAGTCTTAGGAACATCCTGGGAAGATGTCAGGCTTTTTTCCTATGATGTATAATGCCGCTGCGCAGCAAGGAGCTTTAAGCTGTGTTCAGCATGTGGTTACACGTCTCCTGGGAGTCCGCGGGCAGTTTGAGAGGTTTGCGAAGGTCAGGGAAGGCCCTCGCTACAGAATCGTTCTGAGATAAATCCGTGCTGCTCCTGAAAGAGAATAGATCTGCTAAAACCCAGCTTTCCTCTCCTTAAAATATTAAGCTTTCTGCCACGTCACCCTGGTGTCGTTTGCCATATGGCAACCTGAATAGTGTTACCAGCACAACACGCCTGTGGGGATAGGGATAAGCAGTGAAGGAAGGGGCAATAAGCAGGCACTTGCATTGAAATACATGACGCTGTAATGACAGGCTGAAAAAAAAAAAAGCAAGCATATAGTCAGGAGACTTGCCTCTGTTATGTGGAAGTCTGAATGTTAACTAGAAAATACTTAGAGGCCTGCGTGTGAAAAAAGATTAATTTTTAACTAATTCTTCTTTTTGTCCCCCATTTCAGTGGCTCCACCGCCGTACAGTTATGAATACGAAATGGAGTACCCAGCTGATCTACCTCCACCTTATACTCCAACTCCACAGACTTCGATACAGTACCCCCCACCTCCTCCCTACCCTGGATATTCAGGGAAATAATTAAGTGGCACCACATGGATATCAGTTGCCTGTTGAAACAGCCAGCACCATTGGGACAAATATTTTTGACTCAGGGACAAATAGGATGGGGTCTGCAGCAACGCATGTGGCCAGGTATTGGCGCAGCCGAGGAGGGTTGCCATGGCTCAGGATGAAGGAAAATATTGTCCATCCCAAATCATCATGTTTCAAGTTTAAACAGCACACGGCCAAAGAAACAGTTACTGCAACTTAGTGCCTGATAAGCAGTGCTTAGCATCAGCGCTTGGCTTCAGCAGCAGCCTGACGCAGCGGATTGGGGTGGTGCTCTTCCCATTTCAGAAGGTGCCTGAGGAAAATGGTTAACCAGCTCTGTTAACATATCAAACATATGCTATGCCTTCCCTTGAAATGAGTTGAGTTGAACAAGGAAGACTGAAGCTATTTTCAGCTTCTATTTCAGGATGATAATACCAGGTGATCAGCTGCGTATGTTGACCTGATAAATACATTACAAAGAGAAGTGCTCTCAGAGTTACTCGGTAGCCAAAAAATGACTGATATTATTTTTGGCCATGTGCAGGCTGTTTTAAGTGCCTACTTTTAAACAGGTTGAGGCTACTTTCTGGCCTAAAATGTAAACATAAAGAGCGTTTTTTTATATGTGGATTACACTAATTTATAGCTGATTTATTTTTATCTGGACTTAAATACTATATACATTGGACATATGCTACATGGCCTTTATGCTCTTTTATCACCAAATGATACTCTCATTTTAAAAAAATATAGTGATTCAGGAAAACTCACAAGCAGGAGAAGAAATACAAATCAAGTATGAAAACATCATAGATTTGACGTTCAATTGGATTACTGACTAAACTGCACAAAGACCAGCTTTTTAAAAATTGAGTATTGTTTTGCAGTAATAGTGATATACAGCCTAACCAAAGAGATGAGCAGAGAGACTGTGAACATCAGATTTCTTTTCTTTGTTGTCTTGGGCATTTTAGAACTGTAAGTTACTAAATAACGGTTTTTGCATTCATCCCACACATGGTTCAAGATCATTTAGTCTCTACCGTGTAATGTACAGACGTTCATGATTTCATCTGTTCCATATCCTTGTTGGGCAAACTCTAATTCAGCAGCAGCAATTTGACTTCAGAATAGAGTATCCACTTACCTAAAGCATCATCCTTTGATGATAGGAGTAGCATTTTTCTCAGTTTTATATGCAAACCACAAATCAAATGGATCTCTTCAGGGATTTAAAAATACTGAACTCCTTCAATTTGTATTGGGTGGCTGGGCTATTCGAGAACTTTATAGCCAAAATAGGGGAAGGTGACAAAAACATATGGCACCTAGAGTTCAGGGCAGCAGTGGCATTAGATTCATTTCAGAGAGACAGACTTCAGGTTGCCACTGATTCCTGGAGATCAGACTGTGTTTAAATGTTGTCCAGTGTCCAGTGTCCTCATCTTTTTTTCAGGTGTATCAATGTATTAATGAATAAAAAAAAAAAAACAGTTCGCAAAAGGTGGTATCCATAGCCCAGTGAAGTCAACTGAAGAGTTGACTTCATCTCATCACCCCCTAAGTAAGGCATGTTTCTGAAATTCAGTCCAGACTGAGGGAAGAATTCAAACAATTTTTAACATTAAGCACACAAGTTATTCATGAGCCCTCTTGTATCCAAGACCTTACTGACTGTTCTTGCTCAGATTTTGTAATTGCATTTGTCCTTTCCAGGACTGACCTTACCGTTTTAGAAAACCCCACCTGAAAGCATAAATGGCCTCAATTCTCACCACTGTAAGTTTGGAGGATCTGCATTGTGGCCCTTGGCCAACTGAGCTTTGAGGCAAAGTCCCATTAGGTATCCAGGCATTTGTAACCCAGTCAGAGGAAAATTGGGCTGTGTCACAGCTTTTGGTTGCTGCTGGTTCCTTAGAGTCTTCCCCAGGGAAGGAAAGTTATATTCTCATTTCTATTTTGCTCTTCAGAGATGTCGAGTCCAGAACTAGGTTGTCTTCAAAATTACTTATACTCTGGGCTATATCCTGTAACATTTTAGCTGCTAACATGACCTTTCTTAAAAAAGGGATGTGCCTCAGTTGAAATGCCCCCATAAAGCACAACCTCCTGCGCATGGTGATTTGGCAGTCCCTATTCAAACCAATATGTTGGGGTATTGGTGTGCCTGCCAACCTTCCTGTCTGGGCTGGTGGTCAGCATGAATAGCAGAATAAGCAACATTTCCTCTGTGGGAAATCCTATTTCACGTGGTACTTCGACACTTTACAGTTGATCACACCAGATGATGCTTCGGTGCCAAAAAGTAACGTACAAGTAATGAGTATTTTCATTTTCCTCATTCTTGTACTTTGATTTTTTTGTATAACACTGAACAGACGGACCTTCAAATCAAAGAGCAGTTTGTATTTGATGAATTGTCTCCTGAAAAGTACAGAAAAAGAAAACTATCTTATAGATCATAAATCTTCCCTTAGAGGAAGAATTTCCCCAACTGTGACCTTTGTCAGAACAAGCTATAAAGTGCATTTCTTAAATAAAAAGGCATTTCTGGCCAAAATAAAACTCTTTGGCCAAGGAGTCCTGTGTTTTTCAACTTTGAGACCTCGTGTTTCCTCTGATGATACTGCATAAAAGGTCACAGTGGCCTGAGTACCTACAACGGACACATGGCTTATTCCAGGGGAAAATTATGGAAATAGCAGCCTGAAAATTTCATAGTGATAAAGAAATCTATTTGCCTGATGTGAAAACACTAGTGAGGATATTGATTTTATGATGCTAATTACGGTTGTGCAGATCTGTATATATTGGGCGATAGCAGACAGTGATTTTACTTCTGGAAGGACACAGCATCTCTTGTCTTCACTAAGGGCACAGTACATAAAGATGTTGCTCTTAGTGCAAATCAGGTAAAACTAGTATGAAATAGAGCCTCTTTTCAAAAAAAGATGATATTTTCATTGCAAATAAGTAAGCAAAAAGGTGGAGGAAGTTTGAAAGAATTATAAAAATCAAGAAAGAGAAGAAAGAAAAAGTTGCTGCATAAGCATTTGCTAATGCTAAAGTTGAATCTAGTTGAAAAAGTTGAAGTGTCATTATACCTTAAGTGTTGTTTTCTTTGTATGGAAACCTGCAGTTGAGTCAATGCCTTCAGACTCAAAGTTCCTGCAGTTCAGATATTGCTGGCCACTAGTCATTTATTTTGTTTCACATGAATCGCTTGCAGGTGAGTGTGTTAGTACAAAGAGTTTTTACATAGTCACACCTCCTTATTTCACGTATTTCAGTCTCATGTCCTACATCATACTGTAAAGTAAGAAAAGACACTAAAATCTAATCTATGGCAGTCAGTGGAAGAATGTTCTTTTGGTTTTCTCACTTCACAGTGGCCAATATCACTAATTTGGTCAGACAGTGAATACAGCACTGCCCTAGGCAAATCATATACTTTGACCAAATGCTACCGATTTTCTTGTAGTCTCAGTTTGCTCTGCCTTTGACTCATGATTTCAGAATTAGGGAGGCAGAGAAGCAGGTTGCTGTGTCAGGAGTGCACTACCTGGTCCCATGAGCTTTCCTCCTTGGAATCGTAGTTTAGCACATTAGATGATTGGCTGGTTGCATGGTTATTGTGATGGGCTGGAAACAGCAGGAGTTGCAAGTGCTTGCCAGAACACATATGCTTGCATATGCTCTGATGCCAGTCCTCCTTTGCGAAAAAAATAAATTCTGTGTGAAGCCTTAGTTAATCATGTACCAGGGATATTTCAAACCATGATTCATTTGACAGTCTTAATATGGCATTTCTTTAACTTCTTTCCCAGAATAAGCAAACTTCCAAACCAGTTATCTCTTTGACAACCTACTGTTTCTAGGGTATATTCCAAACAGCAAGAGAAAGGTATTTAAGCGCTAATGACCCATTTGGGAGACTTTGCAAATTAGGTAATGATCAGTTAGAGGAGTTAAAAGGCCAATGCAAAGCCAAGGGAAGTTAATGTGCTAGGTTGCCATTACCTAAATGGCACACTCCAATGAAAAGATCATTGCTGCCATTATAAGCCTTTTTTAATTACTGAAAAATGTAAGGATTTACTTTTTTAATATTGGATACTCTGAAAGATGCAGCTTTAGCAGTGTACAATTCCAGGTTTTCAATAGTGCCACAATGAAAAGATTAGCTTGCTTCATAAAACACCTAGATCAATATTAACAGTGTTCTTGGTACAGTAAAAATACATTCTTTCAATTTAAAGCAAGCGTTCCCAAGACCCTTTGTTAAACCACAAGGATTTTTTTTTAATGTAATGGGATAGTTCATAAAGCACTGATGGCTACCTATTAGAATAGTAAATGTTCTGCATTTCTGTATTCACTTTCATCCTGGAGGCTGTCCAGATGCTTTAGTAACTAGATAAATAATTATTTTAGTCACCTTGGCATAAAACTTAACAGGTATTTCACAGCACACAATAATAGTATGTTACATCTTATGGTAGAAATTGCACAATTGCACAAAAGAATTGACGTTTCTTCAGTTTCACTAAAAAGTCAGTGCTTGGACAAAACACCCTGAGAAAATAATTACTAGGACCTTTTATCAAGTGTCCCCTATTATTATTTTCCAATGGGCACATCCAGTCTAGTGGCTGCGTTTATATTGCAGCAATGTCTGAGGTCTGAAAAGCAGAGCCCCGGTCCGAGCTTGGATTACAGTGCATCCATTGTAAAAACACCCCTCCCACTCTGCCGTGATTTTGAAGGTTCGTAGTCGGAATAGATGAACAAGCAGAGGACTAAAGAAAGGAGAGGTGGTGGTCTGTCGTTTTACAAAAGGGAAACAGAGACTGGGAAATACGAAGTGGAACAAGACTTTGTACGACCTACAGAGGAAGCATTACTGTTGCTGTTGACAGTAACTATCACTGTAGGAAAACTGAAAGCTGTGAATAAAGTACGTTAAAGCACTAACATGTAACCAGTCGAATAGCTTAAAGAAGAATCCAGGAAGCTCAGACTCAGGGAGAAAGTAATTCAAGGTGCTGGAGGCAGTAACTAGCACAGTAATGTTTATCTAGCTGCTTTGTAGTGAAGATTAGATGGTCAATATTTATACAGCATTGGAAAGGGAAAATATTAATTATTGTTGTTGTGCTCTGCATGATTAATGTTTTGCATCCTTAGCAGAGGATAGGAAAGGGCAGCCTTTGGATGTCATTACTATGACTGTAAGGACTAGCAATGAACTAAAGCCAGCAGAAACAAAAGGAAAGCCAGAGATTTAGGTGTTTGTGAAGAACGTGATTTTTTGTTAACACAGAGTGTGGAGCTGGTTTCTCAACTGAGGCAAGCTGGCCTGCCTCCAGTGATTTTAAACAGCTGAAGTGAGAAGGAGTGAGGTTGAAGTGGGAGCTTTGTCATGCTGTTTTTCCTGAGGCTTGAGTCTGTGCTGGAGCTGTGGGTGCACTCGCAGGAAACTTAACTGGAGGGATCAAGGTTCAAGATGGTTCTCCTTTCTGGCATAAATGCCGAGTTGGCCATCTCATCCCATAACCTTCAAAACACATCTAAGGATATGTTCACTTGCAAGAACGTGGGCAAAACATTTTTTGTTTGAAAAATGTTTTGATTGAAAAACAATCCCCAACTTTTTCTCAATAGGTAACATATTGTACTGATCGGAAGTCCTTCATTACAGAAAGTAATCTGGACGCTCGACACAGAAGACACACTTCTGCCGTTTTTTCCCAACTGCCCAATCTTCTTTATATTGTAGTATTCCTACCTAGTGACTTATCTCTTTGTCCCGGTTTTATATGCTTCCTTAAGATCCCTCTGGGCTGTGTCCTTATCTTACTGTTGCTTGCCAAAGAGCTTTTCTGAAGGGCACTGATCACAGGAAAACATTTTCCAAACTAACCCGTCCCCTGCTCTCACTGCATTACCACCTTTAGGAGCTGTGAAGGCTGCACACTGCAAGAGTCATCCCTACCCTCGCTCCTCTGCAGGGGGGCAATGCCAGTTGTTTGCCAGTTATCCTGAGATCACCCTTAGCACAGGCTTTAGTTGTGCTAAAACTCAACTCTCTATATGTTTTCCAAAGATCTAAATATGGTCAAGAAATTTAGAAATGGAAAAAGAAATCATGCCTACACCTGCTTGCAGGTTTATTTCAGCTCTGAGAGATTTCTTTTTGCTTATATATATCCAGCTATCAAGCTGATAGGATATTTCCCATTTTCTAAATGGGGATCTAGTTCCTTCTTTATATATCCATCTTATATTTCTTATCTCAATAGGCAGATAAATAGATTGTCTCATATCCCTCAGGGATATATTAGCATCTTTACAGCCCAAGCATTCCCTGGATATTGCCTTGTGATTTCAGTACCTACAGCCTCCTGCTTGGCCTCTGGAGCTCTATGAACAATCACTCAATTTGCAAGTTATTTTTTGTTAATAACTAGTCTGTGCTTAAATAGCTTTAAACAAAAAGTTAATATATGGCTAGGAATCCAGTCAACCCAAATACTGGGGCTTGAGCTTTGGTGAACTGTCATTGTACCCTGAAAATTAAAATGAACAGTAACTTGACCACAACAGATTATATAGATTGCATGATGGCATATGCAGAATACATACGTGAAATAAATGCATCCTGCTTGCTACTGGCCCTTACGTGAGACTGAGTATCACAGCAATTAGCCAGTTTGTTATGATAATAGGCTCGGGGTGGTTGATTACTTACTGAGGTATAAAGGGATACCATTGTATCTGGCTTTTATTGGTAGCTCAGAGACAAAGTTGCTTCTGTAGCTCTTACCCTCACATAACAAGAATTTATGAAATCACCTGAGGCTGCCTTTGCCAATTATCATCATCATTATTTCCATGTTTAAAAAACAAGGCAGAGTTCTTGTTGACCATTCATCAAAGGGATACTGTGGTACTGCAGTTTCCACTAATATGCCTCAGCTGAGACCTAAACAGGTAAATTTTTGAGAACTAGGAAAGAAAATAAATATGTATAAGCTGAATACTGCTCTTTATTCAATATTTATCTTCCTCTGAGGCGGATGGTAGGGTATCAACAGGCAGTTGATTCAGGATTAGGGAATCAAATAATACATGAGTGTGCTTATGGTGGTAAAATTAGAGGTAAATCATCCCAGCTGGGTGGTAGATTTTTTGAAGCACCTTACTGACAAATTGTGAACCTAGGTTTAAGAGGTCTGCCACAGCCCTAGCTAAGCTTCATAATTCACAAGGGAATACAAAGAGGTATAAATGGTCCCTGAGAGCCTGGCAGAGTAAAATTAAGTTTTTACCAGCTGTGGCTATGTGATTACAACCAAAATAGAGCAGTTTGCTAAGTGTATGCTATTGGACTCCTCTCCTTAGCCATGAGTCCTCATACCCCACTGTACCAGGGACTGCCCCCAAGTCATGCACACTTCGGTGTGTGACACACACAGCGTGATAAATGGCAGCCTTGATGTAAAAAAAGA